AGGGAGGGAGATAGATAGTGACCAAGTGCGACGAAATATAGTTTTTCCGACCGAACCGTTCAAGGGAGGAAATCGGGAGAAATCTGGGAACCAGACACCCGGCGTGGAGACACGGATTGATCCAGACGTCCCGCCGCGCGGATTTAGTGTCCCGTTTCGACCCTTACACATTTCGACTGTGGAACGAGGAGGGACGATCATGGACATATCGGAAGATTGTTGGGAGCACGTGGGACTGCTTCAAGAGGTCTCCGCCGCGGAACCACCCCCGCCACCACCCGCTCCCGACTTCCTAATTCAGCAACAGGAGGTGAGCAGTCTTCGTTTCTTTTTCTTCTTCGATTCTTCGGTTTCGCGATCGAGCGTTCTTCGATCGATACGATTCGAGAGAAAAAAGCGCGGGAGATTGGATGCGTTATAGTTTTTTTGCAAAGTGTCGATTTAAACGTCCGTTTTATACTTTTATTTTATTTTATCGTTAATACGTTAGTTATTTACGTTATTTTTTTTATTATTCGTGGAAAAGTATATATGGTTATTAAGATAATATTACAAGGAGACATGGTATAATTATTGCTTAATTGCTTGAGATAAAGGGATACATATAATTGACATTACTAATTATCGTTAGTGACGTAAGATTTTTTAATTTTGTACTTATCAGTCATTATTTTGCGCGATATCACTAGATTTTCTTCCGTTCTTAAGTAGGATAGAACAAAAAAAAATCAAAAATAGGCTAGTTACGGTAGATAAAAGAAATCGGTTGATCGCTTGATTTTTCTTTGGAACATGGTGTTTAAATTAACTGGAACTTGTATATTTAATAAAACTAAAGTATTTAAAGTAATTTATATGCACTTCACGCAGGTGAAGTATACACTGTCACACGTTATCATAATAACGCGTAGTGTGTGCTGGTTTTGTTTCGTTGGAAACAAACCAGTAGACATTCCATAAAGCGGCCGTTTCAAAAATGGTTATCGAAATTGGTAACAACGATAGCGTAAATTAATTTAATAATCATCGTGAATATCCAACATGTTGGTGGAATTGATATTTCATACGAAACGGACGAATGAGATCGATAAAAAAAACGTTCAAACGATTCTATTCTCGGGTGGGAATGTTTTGTACAACGACCACTTCGTTAACGAATTTCAATTGTAGATATGAAATCAAATCTCTGTTACCCTCTAATTGATGCATTACGAATTAAAACCGCACGGTGCACGCGATCATCTAGTATTATATAGCTTTTATCGCGATATTTCGATGGCATCGCTGCACTTTTCTCTCGAACAATTTCGCCAACGACATCGAATCACTTTTATCGAATTAATCGTCCGATATATAGCCTCTTAGTTCACACCAATTATTCCCAACGTGCATCAAAATCTTCAATTACACATTTCGAATTTCGAATCTCGAAGCATATATACAGCTTCCTCTGTACTTATTTTATTTTAAATAATATCTATAAAGGACGTGGAAATTTGATTCTCATTTTGCCTCTCGACAAAAATGACAGTTAACGAAAGACACGAAGAGGTATTGAGAAGTCGAACATTTGAAAAAAATTTATGACGTATTGTTACCGTGTGAAACTAGTCGCCTCGGTGGTGGGGATAACTTCTTTAACACGCATCCGCAAGAAGTGGCCGCGCATATAACGAATTAAATACCGTAATTCTCTGCCCTTCTAAAAGCATCGTGTATCCAAGCTGGACGTGACAGGACTTCGAAATCGAAAGAACCGCAGCTGTCCCTCCCGTTCTCTCGATTTCTCTGTTTGTTTAACCAGAGCAGCCGGTAATAATCGTGCGATCAATCGGTAACGAAGAATTTAGATATCATTATGGCGTTCGGGAGAGGGAACGTGACGGTTGACCTGTGGGTTGAGATCTAAGAGCGAGGAAGGGAGGGGGGAGCGAACGGAAGGCACGGGCACTCATTCCGTTTCAATTTCGGTGTAACGAGCCTCTCTCGCGGTTGAACGGTATGGATCCATAGAGGGCGTCCGATGCCCTGTAATCATCCCGGAAATTATAGGCATTTATCCGCGGCATGAATGAACGGATAGGAAAGTTTAAGAAGATATCGGTGGCATCGAGGTGCGTCAGAGGCGCGTGCACGGTCCCCTTTGGAGAACTCTCGCCCCTTCTGCCAATTTCTAGAGGCACCTGCAGCTGTACAAGACTCGATCGAGAGGCCCAGATTCATGTATTCCGTTCTTCTTCTCCTTTTTCTTCTTCGTTATTTTTTTTTTTTTTATTATTTTTTTAATTCTTTTTTTGGGGGTACGTGTGCGTGCACATGGACGAAATTCTGGGACACGAACTATGTATCGAGGCTCGGTTAATTCTTCCTTCCCGACGGTAATAACTGCGCCAACATAAGTTGCAATCAGCTGTCCGTACGTATGGGTGTGTACATTACGCGGCACGCATACTCGCGTGTGCATTATTATGATAAACGATTATATTATATAGGGTGTTCCAATTTTTATGTGCAAAGTTTGTCAGTACGTAATATCCTTATAAATAATAATGATGGTTATACGAAGCAAATATTTCAACAGATTTTTAATCATAGATCGTGCGAGGATCGTTGTGATAAATTATCATATTGTATAGGGTGTTCCACTTTTCAAGTGGAAAATTTTTCAATACGTAAGATTTCTATAATTAGAAACAGAATAGAAGTAGAAACAATTACCTCGGTGATTTCTAGCGTTCATTATCTTATCGAATCTGACGGTGACAAGTGAAAAAAAAAGTGAAAAAAAAAAATAGAAACAGATTTACAAAACATTATAAATTAAAAATTTTAGAATAAATTGTAACATTTAGTTTCGTTTCTATCGGTATAAATCGCAGGAACGAATAATAATGGAGAAAAAAACTTTTTAAAAAATACATTCGCCTAACTTTTTAAAGCTACTCGACGGACGGTTAAAATTCATCGTTGCTTATACGCGACGTCGAGCGTGAAAGAGAAACTGTACACCCTGTATACACGTATGGATGTACACTCGGCGCCGTGTAGAATTCTCGAGAGCCTCTGCCGTTATTATTATTAAATTGCTTCCTTAGTGCACGCGAAGAATTATAAACAACTGATACACAGCCTTGCAGCGTTGTTACTCTCCCCCCCCGGCTGATTTTAATACGTTTCAGAAGATTAAAACATTAAGTGTTCTTCTTCTTTCTACGAGATTTGATTGTAAAAATTATCGGAACGACGTGGACACGTTGCACAACAATTGTTATTACGAGGAAACGTTCGATCTCGAATAAAGGAATCGAGCGTTTGGGGGATAATTACGCGCTTAATTTTAATTTTAATTTTAATTTAATAATATTTTTAATTTATTAAATTTGGATTATTAATGCGTCGATCTATAATATGATTATTCAAAATTCTTTTTTTAAATTGTTCGTTTCTTGTTTGTGAAAATTGAATTTTGTACGATATAAACATCCATAGTCGTGTTAGGATGAAAATAGATCGCGTCTATCTTGATCTTTATAATTAAATTTAGCTTTATTTAGAGAGAATTAAAATTATATCTATCTAATTAAGAAAAATTAAATTTAGAATAAAAGTTAGGAATCGAGTTATAAACACAATGCATAATTTTATTATGCATTAAAAACGTTTCTCGAGGTTCGTTTAAATAAATTAAATTAGTTAAATAAAAATGAGGGTATTTAAGAAAGATTCGTAAACAAACACGAGAATTAATTGTACAATTTCCTTGAATCTCTAATTACTTAAATCAATAAATAAAATTGGCATTAAAACAGTAAACTCGTAAACGACTCATGACGAATATCACGTTTCATCTTATATCCAAAAACCGTTTGAATAAAATAGATAAAAATCAATATTAAGAAGACAGATATAAAATTAATGTTCTATAATCGTTTCGCATCTTTATTTGCATTGTTCAAGGCCCGTTTAAATAAAGATAAATAAGTTAAATTAAAAAAGGGGGACAAGGTGAAAAAAAAAAAGAAAAAGAAAGGGAGAGAGGAGAAAAAACGCACACGAGGAAGGAATACGAAAATCGAGGATCGAGGATCGAACTCGTGTTCACCTATGCTCGAGTAATGAGTCCCGATATTCCCACACGGGCCCATTCTGGCCCGCCGTGGGAAACTCATACGTGAGTCGTATCCCTCCGCCGAGGGACTTGTCCGTTTTTCGACCGGCTCTCGATTATTTCCGATCGTGCAAGCTGCGAATATTATTTTATTTTTATCTTGAAAATGATTTTATTTTCCAGAATCATAGTTTTCATTTAGAAGAAATACAGTTTGGGAAATTATTATTTATTGTAAATTTCATTTTACAAACTTTTTCTTTTTCACTGAGAAAATCTTAAGCAAATTAAGAATGACAGTAATATCCTTCTCGAGAAAAATTCGAATCCAACTTTAAAAAACTTAACCCTTTTTTAAAAAAAAATATTTCCTCCATCAACGCTTGTATCCTCTCATTAAAAGAATCGTACAAACGCGTAGAGGGAGAAGAAAAACTCGTCCGTGATTTTTTAATTCCTACGATCGGAAGGGTGGTGGTTAGGGATGACACCGAAAAAACGACACTCGTTGGAAAAGAATACGAGGTGCACAGAGCACGTAGCAACTTCGTGAGAGAACTCGGCCGATTCGTACGATAACGACGGCGTACGAGCTGCTTCCGAATTGCTTCCTTTGCCGCGGCGCATGTCGTCGTGAAAATTGAAATGAGAAGTGGAACGAGGCCTGCCTGCCTCCGTTGCGATTCGCACGTCCGTGGAATTCCACGGACGATCCCAAGACAGATTGCGAGAACGCCCTCTGCTCTGATCCCCGATGCAAACCGATCGCCGATGCTAAGATATTCTGTTCTTCGCCG